GGGACGGGAATGCGACTCCGACTACCTGGCGGTGGCAGGAAGACTCCTGCTCTGGGAGAAACCCCCCACAGACCCTCCAGGCAGAACCTCCATGCATTTCCCTAGAAACATCGCCACCAGCCCTGCTGAGACCCGCAGGGACGCAGGCGGCTAAAGCAGCTTCCCGGGCTGGTTGACGGGCACAGTCACCATGGACAGGAAATGCAGCCACATCAAACCCCGACCCCTTCCACAAACGGTGAGGAACAACCTATTGGCAATTCAGTTATTACCCAGCAGGTGTGTTTTCAAAATGTACCATTACTCCCAGACATTAAAACTTTAAAATACCAATACTTACTGTAATCTTTATAGCTTTGTTCAACACATTGACCCATTCTACTAGGTCCTGCTGATCATTAGCTTGTAGGAAATATTTCCTCATCCCTGCGTTCATAACTGTTGAGAGAAAAAATAAACTACAATACATGAAATTCTGCACTTGTTACCTCCAAGTTTATGTTTGCAGCAGATGGAACACCATGCTAGGTTCAATACTGTGACCACATGTAGCACTGCTATTATCACTCAATAACAAGGGTAAAATTCTTATTTTTAATGGCCACGTCTTTCATTAAACAAAAATACAATATATTGGACCCACCCCCTAATGATGGACACGTAGGCTATTCCAATTTTTGAAATTATATAAACTATCCCAATAAAACATACATTTCACATACATACATTTCTCCTTAGGCTAGCGTTTCTATAGGATAAGTTTCTGAACGTAAACATGTTGGAGCAAAGGGAATTCATATTAAAAATTCTTACAGATGTTGGCAAGTCGTCTTCCCAAAAGGCCGACTCCCTTTACGTTCCCGCCAAGGGCACGCAGAGACCCTCCCACCGAAGGCTCCTCCCGGCCACTGCCCACCAGCGCCTGTGGGGAGGGCCCGCTCTCAGCTCCTCGGCCGGGACACTGGGCCGGGACCTGCACGGCGTTTCCTAGACGTCCTGTGGCTCAGGCGTGCTCCGCCCACAGGAGTCCTGACGGGAGAGTGAGGAGACGGACTCCCCAGCAGCTGCAGCAGCATAACCAGCTGGTCGGTTCCATGTCCACCTCCGGCTCCACGGTGGCCCCGCCGCCAAAGGCCCCGGGGATCCCGCCTCTCCCGGGATGTCTCCCCAGCCAGGGGGTGGCAGCCGCTCCACCCACTTTCTACTTCGTGGGTCACTCAAGCATCAGTGGAGATGAAAGCCTCCGAGGTGCTCTCAACAGCGACATCGCACCCGCTCAGACCCTGCTTCTTACTGGAGGCACGTGACTGCGTCAGACGCTTTCCCTCACTCCTGTCCCAGCACCGCCTGCCTCTCCAGCAGGACAGAGGGCTCACCGCCAGCCCTGCCCCGCGTGCCGTTACTCTCGTGTGGACAGCACCTCCTCATGACAGCTGCCACTCCTACTCAGGCCCCTCCCGCCACAGACACACCGAGGGCACCAAGCTCCCACTGTTCCCACGATCCCAGCGTCTCCACTCTCCACCTGCCAGCTCCGCCCGGGCCGTCACCAGAACATCCCCCTGTTGGTCTCCACCATTTCCCACTCCCCGACCTGATCGCTCTCCGTGATCCTCACCTCTTTGCCTGAAGCAAAGCGACCCGACACCTCTCCCCCGCACCCCACCTGTGCAGCCCCCCAGGCCCTGTACTCCCCTAACGTTTCTCACCCTTCCGCTCCCCGCTGTCACCACCCTCATCCAGGCCCATCTGTAAGGGTAACAGTTTGAAAGCTACTTAACTCATCTACCAACACCAAAACTCTTATTCATACAAAAAAAAAAAATTTAAAAATCTACCTTCGCCTCATGCCTACTCTCCAGATGCCGATTTCTTACCTATCGTTTAAAAATAACCACTTGTCAACAACATATTGGGCCCGACTCCTGCCCACGTGCTCACCTCAGTCTCTCCCCTCCCTCCAGCTTCACAA